GAGGTAATGTCACCTCTCTTCTCAAAGGACTTACAGTGGCATCACGTCTCATTCAGGGCTTGGGCTTTGCTCTCAGAGATACTTACAAATTAGTCAGGGATGCCCTTTGACATATACTAGGACCACCAAACTAGTTTTACTGTGCTTGAGCCATATTTCCCCCTTTCTTCTTAGTACAACCACTCCCTTAAGGACCCTTAACACCTAGAAGTTTTACACCATATGCTTCTCTTGCATGAAAATGGAGCTGACTGAACCAGGCCTGACTCTTGAGTCAAAGTAAGCCAATCATAGCCTGGCCTCAAGCTCTGATTCAATCATCTAGATTCAAAAGGATTGGGCTAAGTATTTACTTTTGGGAGGGAATTTGATCCAAGAAATATAGAAATAGTTTTCCTTTATTTCTGGAAGTTGAAATAGAACAGCTGTTATGTCAGAGGCTGGAAAGTCCACACTGGGTTATGTGTGTGTTAAATCTATAAGAGAATGGAAACAAGATCTAAGCAGTGGAAGCAGATGGAATACAGATACGCATATCAATAATACCACAAATGTCATGAAATAAAGGTCAGTGCTACTGAGGATTCCAGCACCTCCTTGAACTGAGAACCAGGACCCTTTAGCTTTTACCTTATCTCTTGTTTAAATCTTTGTGAGATTTTTTCTAATCCTCCCCACATACTTTAATTAAATTCCATTTACGTAGAAATAACAAACTAAAGAAACATGCATGCAAATTTTAACATGTGATGAGATTTTCTTGCCCAGCCCACAACAAACAGACAAGTCTCTCCAATGTTTTTGGTCACTCCAAATAGCCTTTATTTGTGCTTTCTTGTGAATTCTCCTTTGCAAAACATGAAGTCCCTTTCTCCCTACTCTCAGTCTAGCTAACATTTCATTACTTAGTATCTTACTCTTTAGAAATAGTCTTCAGATTTTGAAAGCCAATTATATAACTAGTACCTCTCCACAGGAGAGAGAAGCCATGTATCTCAGAGACACTCTTTCAAGTGTATATTAAATCTCCTAGACATGGTTACAGAGAAAAGCAGGGACAAAGAGGCACTTTCTTCAGGAAGTGCCAAAGAAAAAAATTTTCAACATCTTCCCTGGGATGGTCTGCAATATGAAGTAGAGAATTCCTTTTTAAAATTTATTCAGACTAGGCAGTAATTCAGAACAGTGAAGTAGAAGAAAGATATTCAAGGATTTTGTAAAAGCTGTTTATGGTTTGAAAACTAATTGTGGGACCTGTGGTCTTCCATTTTTCTTATTCTGACAGGAAATTAAAACTTGAGTAGCCAGCTTCATGATGGGAAGTACAGGAAAAAATGTCAGCCTGTAGCTTCTAACTTGGTTTCCATCCACACCAGTCCCAGTACGATTTTAAATAAAGTCTCTCAAAGGCATGGCGTTCTTAATTCTACACGATATATTTTTGTCCTCTATTCAGACTCGACATTACTATTTCAAAGGACTCTTAAATGCTTTCTTCATTTCTCCTTCAGTTACTAATAAACAAAAACAACAAACAACCTCAGTTTTTTAGATTTTCATATAATTTAATCTATATTTAATATTTGAAAAAGTCTTGGGACTTTTAACGCCAGGGACAAATTTCAAACACATTTCCTCCATGTATCCTTTTTGTATATGTCATTTAAAGGATTTCAGCCTGTTTCTCTCTGTAAGTAGCAGTAATAATACCCATGTCACTGCAGTGTGAAGATGAAATGAGACATAAAGTACGTAGTAGACTTCAAGGCACTCTGGGAAAATAGAGTAATATAACAGTCCATCACCTACAGTCATATTTACTCTTCTTTTTCAATAGAAAAGAATTGCTTCAATCAGCCATTGCTTTTTCTTCCTTTTCTCTATTACTGTTATAATATGAATGTCTATGCTTTCTTTCTTCCAAATTCATATTTTGAAACCAATTCTCCAATGTGATAGTATTAAGAGGAGGAGCCATTGGAAGGTGATTAGAACAGAGAGCTATGCCTTATTACATTAATCAAATGCTCTTGTATGAAGGTTTAGGAAGTTTACTCACCCTTCTGCCATGAAAGTACACAGTGAGAAGGCACCATCTTGAAGCAGAAAGCCATCCTTGCTAAATCTGCTAGTACCTTCATATTGGACATTGCAAATTTATAAACAATTTCTGTTGTTCATAAAATACCCAGTCTAAGGTATTTTGTTATAGCAGCTTGAAGAGACTAAAACAATTACTTTACTTCATCTCTACCAAACAAAACTGAAGATAATTTTATATAATGCAAGTGTTTTAGAGTGTTTTAAAGTATTTTAGAGACACAACACTTCCAGTTTCAAAATTATAAATTTCAGGGCTGGGGAGTTAGCTCAGCGGCACAGCGCCTGCCTGGCAAGCACAAGGTCGTGAGTTCAATTCCCGGTACCAGAAAAAAAAAAAAAAGAGAGATTCTAATTTGGGCTGGAGATTTAGCTCAGCGGCACAGTGCCTGCCTGGCAAGCACAAGGTCGTGGGTTCGATTCCTGGTACCGGAAGAAAAACAAAAACAAAATTATAAATTTCAGCACATTTAGTAGTTTCCTTCGTGACAAGTCCCAGAAATGGTAAGAAGATAGCATTAAAAGAAGTAAATAAATAACCACATAAAGACAAAAAGAAAAATTTTCACAAGAACAGAAATGATGTCTGGACAGAATCAAGTGAGGAAGGAAGCACCAATCCAAAGTCAATGTAAGCACTCAGGAAAGAACTCCCACTAAAAAATAAGTGAGAGAATTTTATACACAGTCAGTAGATGACTTCAGTGGAGAAGAGGGGTCAAGGAACAACAGACAGAGAGACCACTGTCCTTGCTCAGGAGAGGACAGCAGCACTCTTTACCCGCTGCCACCATCCTACTCTCTTCCCCTGAGTCCCATACATCCATGGACCAGTAAAGACAGGCTTTGAATAGCGAGAAGGTGACTGGGCCCTGTTATACCTGCTGGCGCATGGCAAGCATTTCCATGCTCTCACTGACCTGAGCAGCAAAATTTTGTTCTCTGCCACGAAGTGAACTGCAAAAACAGCTGCCAATCTTTCAGGGAACCTCAAGTGCTCCAAATTTTTTTAAAAGTTGATATTTAAAAATAAAATCCCCTGATTGTGCAGCAGTAACACTATTACAGAAGATGAAAGAATTTCTACCAGAGGAAAGAGATAAAGGCACAACAACATAAAATTATTAGTGGAATTAATATCTTCAGGAAGGTAGGTTGAAATAGTACTGAAAGCAACGCAGGGCATTTGTAAAAAAAAAAACAAAGAACCAGTTAGAAACTTAAAAATGTTGATTCCTATAAGATTTGTGTAGCAAAATTTGGCAATATTTATAAAACCAATAAGTATGCATAATTTTGATCTACACATCTAGAAATCTCTCCTAAGGGAATCACTAATGATATACCTGGAATTGATGAAGATCGTTTTGCTGTTGTAAGTAGTCTGAAAAATTCTACCTGTCAAAAACTGGACTTTAATTGTATATATACTTCAATATTATACAGCTATTAGAGTGGTGTAGAATTATACTTTAACTAAAGGGGAAATATTTACAATAAAAATTTTAAAAGGCACTTTACAAAACATTATGTATGAGTGATCCACCAAAATGTTTAAATAATGCTAATAATACTAACATCTGTAATATTCCATTTTTGGAAGAAATACCTATACAAGTGTGATATATAACTGATACATGTATATTTTTAAAATAGAAGCAATAAAGAAATAAATTAAAATCTGTACCCTGATGTTGGTCTGATTGTATAGGTAATTTTATTTTTCCTTTTCACTTATGTACATTTTCCAAATAATACACAGTGAAAAATTTTTAAGTTTTTCCAGGAATAATTAAATTTCTATCACTCTGATTTTGATTACCATATCAAATTCAAATTTGGGAAAGAGAACAATGAGATATAGACTCTTATAATGGGTTAAAATAGTGAAAATACAACTTTCCAATGTACATAAAATTTTCCCAGGGTTAAAAATATCACAAGGCTTTCAAGAAAGCTATATCAACATCTATGCTGATTCTAAGATAGTCTCACAAGTTTGAAAGTTCTCCCACATATCTGGCCCATGAGGTAAAAAAGAAATACTTTTTTTCAAATCCTGTACTGGTTTTGTGCATTTTTTTGGAAGAATGACAAAATCCCCAAGGAAGTGAAAATCAGTATATGGGGGAGGTAAAAATTCTTAGATATTACAATAGCTTGTGTCCCTTTTAAATAAAGCTTAATCCTATCTCAAAATGTAAATATATACACACAGTATCTCTGATATTATAATTTCCTAGGGGATGGAAGGAGTTACTAGGAAGAAAAAAAGTCTGAAAAGATTCTTGGTGAGGACAGAGTAAGAGAAATAATGAAAAAACATTGTTTTTCATTAATAATGAAAAACATTGTTTCATCCATGGGAACATAAAATCCAAATTCCTTTTTATTTTTCCCAGACACCTTCTCTTTTGGTTAAGTTAGGTGACCTCAGAATTGATTATTTTTTTAATTTAACACAGATAATTAAAATATATATAGATATGTTTCCTACAGGAAACTCTAGATTTTCTCTTCAATGATTTGCTGTTGTATTTAAATTTCTATAACAAAGGCATTTTACAAAATGCTAGAATTTTTTTCTAAACATTAAGCTATTACTGTCTTTGTTTTCAAATATAGTTATGTGAAATTTTAATGGAGTGTGGACTGATACCTATTAACACTAGCCCCAAGATTTTAGATTATGTTTAATTTGCTTCCGAAATCACTCGAATTATTAATACCCTATTTATAAAGAAAAGGTCAGGGGTTCAAAATACATAATATTCTTCATTACTTGAATCCATTTAAAAGTAACTTTTTTTAAAAACATGGTTTCTCAAATTCTGACAGGTATTTCCCATGACTTGACTTACTTAACCCCCATTACTCTTATAATTTTTTTATTGTTTTAGGACTGGATTGCTACATTAGTTCTAAGAAAATAAAATAGACAACACACAGCATGTCATTTATGTCATGTAACAAGTGTCTGAGGAAAAGCAGTGGAGGAATAGCACAGCCATGCCATGGGACTGCCAGAGATCCAACCTTCCACTGCCACATTCGCAGGCAGGATTTTCATTGTCTTCGAGCTTGCCACTTCCTGCCCCAGACTGGCTGTTAATTCTCAGTCAAGCCCAGACAACAAAAAGAAGAAAAGACCAAGGAATGAAAGGTAAAGTTTGTCCAATTCTATTGGGAAAATGCAATTTTTCCATTTATTTTTCTCTGGTTAGATTGAGATGTGACCATTCCCACTACAAGTTTGGTGGTGAAGGAGCTTCAGACAGTCACCCAATACACTTGCCAAATTTGCTCTTGGGTAGTTTTCAAGTCTTTTTGATCATGTCAGCCCTTCAGAGAGCCTTTCCTGAAGGCCTATTTGCAGTGGCAGATCTTTCATTTACCTCTGATTCCTTCATACAAAGCTACAGCCCTGAGGACAAAGCAGGACCCAAAATACACACCTCTCCCAGGATTACGGTGCCTCATACATTTTCTTCATAACATTCTCCAAAGTTCTTTTTCTTGACCTGTTTATTATTAGTCCTCTTTATCAGATTATAAACTCCAAGAAGACTGTTTTATTTGTTTCTGTATCTAAAATGTCTGGGACAGTTCCTGTCACACAAGAATCTCAAAAATATATACCAAAGAAATAGATTAATGAATAAGAAAATTGAGACTTGCGGAATTTTGAGATTTTTACCCAAATTCATATAGCTAATAAGTGGCAAAACCAATGCTTTAAGAATCTTTGATAACACAGAAGGAGAAGTTATCTCCTAAACTTCTATACCAGATCCCCCCATCTCTATCAGTGGTGCCAAAGCTACTACCTCTGGTGGTACTGGCTTGGTACTGGCTTGAAAAAGCCAAGTTTAAACACCAATTTCCAACTCAGCTTTCAGGGACGTTACATCAGTGGCTTAAATAGGGCACTAACAGGGTGAGTATATTTACACCATGGAAATCAGAAGACTTTACTCGAGGGATCCACCACCACCATCCAGAAGAGCTATATGTGAAACACTTACCCCTGGATACTGCCCATCCCACGTCCTTGTCTGTCTTAATGGTAAAAGTTCTCACAAGAACTTCCCAGGGATCTTTTCTGGTTAGCAGTCTCTAGTTTGCTGTTTCTATGCTACTCATGAAGTTTTCAACCTCCTTTCTTCCTCTACTCTTCAAATCTCCATTAAACAAATATCACAGCTCAGCAGGGGGTAGGGCAAATGACTGTTCAGCAAACACATTCAGCAAACAAGTCCAGCAATATCATAAGGATGTAGGTGGAGAAGGAGAGCAGAATTTATCACCCACTTTGTATCTATGAAAATAACAAAGACGGACCCTCTATGGAAAGACAGCACTTTGCTGGCAGTTCTCAGGTTGCTCCATGGAGACATAAACCTCTGTTCTTTTTATAGGAGGACAGATAGTGCTAGAGTAAGTCCATTTGTTATTCCCCAGGGGAAAATACCAGTGGAACCTGTACTCTAAAATACTGAATACTTGAATAAAACTTGTGTGAACTGTAAGATATTTTCATAAAGTGACCTGTTCCATGGTAGTGCTTAACATCTTATTTTTTTTGGTACCGGGAATCAAACTCAGGACCTTACACTTGCCAGGCAGGCGCTGTGCTGCTGAGCTATATCCCCTGCCCCTTAACATCTTATATGTTTTCTTTCTGTTATAGTTGTTGTAACTTCTTTACAGAGTACATCTTTGACCTCAGAATGTAAATTCTAATTCTGCTTTCTGTCATAAAATTTTTAAAAATCATTGCTAACATTTATTAGATGTCTATATTCAGATTATGTTTTATCAATTATTTTCAGATGAAATATCCAGATTATGTTTTTATTAAATACTCAGGTTATGTTTTTATCAGTGTATTATTTTCCATCTCTCCTTACTCAATGATTCTCTTGCAGTCTGGGCCAGATTACTTCCGGAGGCTCCTGAGTATCAAAGAGCAATCTAAAGGGAAAAAGTGGGATAGGAAGTAACAATTATACCTATTAGCAGAATCTATCTCAGACACTGTCTTCATGCTGGGAGCCTCACACCACTGTAATCGTATGTACCTAGTGATGGAACATACTTGTGCTCTGGTAGACAGCAGGGGAAGATAAGATTTAAGACTAAGATAGCTCATAAAACATGTACTTATTTCTGGTGATTTATATTTGTCAGCTCAATCAATCTTCATGGCATCCAGTATCACTTATACTACTATTTCTTTTTTTAGTTAAGCAAACTAAAGTTAAAGGGCTTTAGAACACATTCTCATAGTCACATAACTAGAAAGATGCCAAACTAGAATTCCTCTGAAGGCCATGAAAGTTCATGTGTCTTCTATTATCTGACGATGCCTCTGTGAAGACAGCTCAGTGGTTGTTCTTCATCTTTTATGCCTAAAAAAGAAGTCACTACCAAGTGCTTAACTCATCCAATTTCCCTGAGTTGGCTAGCTGTAAGCCCACTAAGAAAAATGTACCTTCTATGACAAATTCAGAGATCCCTTGCAATGGGCTATTATCTACAGGAATCATATGAAGTTAAACACCAGTGTCAGAGCCAGGATTCAAACTAGGTTTGTTTGGTCCAAACAATGCCTGATCCACTGTCTTCTGTGTGGGATCATTTCCCGGAATCTGCTCTGCTCTTTCGGTAGTGTATCCTCCTAGAAAGCCACACTTGCAATTTTTGTGACATTTCCATTTTATCCTATCCTTATGACTACATGATACCAGCCACAGACCCTAAAAATATGGTGGTTAAAAATACTTCCCAACCCCAGTATGCTTTCTTCCTCTCAAGAGTTAGGTTAAATGCACATTTTGTAAAGGGACTACAGATTGTTCCTGTGGGTATAAAATGTCCATAGAACAAGGGATTTCAGAGTCACCTGCTAATTTCAAATCATCTGCAATAAGCTTGCGATTTAAACAGTCTTAAAGAACATGTTTCTATGAATCTTGACTTGTTTTTTAAAGTAAACTACGATCTATAGTAGTTAAGGAAATATGCAGAGGGAAAGGAGAGTTCAGGCCTTCCTCAACTGAAAAAACAAAACAAAAATCTTGACAAGTAGTGAGGAACAATAATCATAATCAGACATTTTATAAATGTAAATATTTATTCATACAAATATATGCTAAGTGAGTATTTAAATATACTACTACTACCAATGAATTGTATTTGGCTTTGAAACAGCCTAGCCTAGGTTGAATTTCAGCTCTGCTATAGAATGTTGGGCAAAGTACTTCAGTCTTTTCTCAAAGACTTCTCATCTGTGAATTTGGAATAGAAATGGAGCTATATTGAGGATTAATAGGATGACGTTTCTAAAATTCTTAGCATAAAACTAATCACATAATTTTCAAAAAATATGTCACTATTGATTTTATGTGGTGACTTTTATATGTCCTCTCTAGGAATATTACTGCTTCCAACAACCATCTGTGAGCTAGAGAGATGAAAGTTAGTCTGCATGAACCCTGCTACAATGGTTTGGACTCTCTTTCATGGTTCTGCCTTTAATCATCAGACTTCTAGTTAATGGAATTTTGTTTTGCCAAAATCTCCTAAAGAAAGTCTTCCCTGGTTCTAAAAAAGAAAAGACTTTTTTCTGGGCTTGGTTTCCTGATACTTATGAGTAGTCTTCTTGATGAAGAAGGAATTTTTACCCGCCTCATTTTACTCTAGAACATTCAGTCTTTATATCTCTAATTGTCGGACCTATCTTAACAACATAAATCTTCCCCAATGTACACAGTGATTTTCTGCACATGGGCACTTAGAGGAAAAAGCCAGAGAAAGCTAATATGTATAAAGTAGCAGGCAGTGCTCTATAAGTTTATTTGATCTCCATCTCATAAAAATCCTTGGAGTAATGAAAAATTGATCTTCTTGTCTTCAAAACTCTTACTGCTAACAACAAATCAAATAATCTGAAATATCCTGAAATTTAATATCAGGAGATTTAGAAGTCTTTTGAGATACTATCTCAGGAGCTGGGTTTTTTATTTTTCCTTTGGTTTACATTTTATTATATATTCTATTTATCTTAAAGGAACCAAGGTGGTTTATAAGTTAGATAAATTATGGCCAATAAAATTGAGATCAAAATTTAGAAAACTGTAATTTCTTAATTTTTTTCTTTACTATCTTGGCAATCAAAGCAAAGAGAATATTAAAGGATTTATATAATTGTAAGTATAATATAAAATGTTAAAATAACTACAATATTAACATAACATAGCCACTAAAAAGAAATTTGCCTTAGAGTAGTCTTGGAAAACTGAAGAACAGAGTCTTCTGAAAGACAAGTAGAGTGGGAAAATGCAACCAAACAAGTAGAAGGTGGGAAAGTAGGGTAAAAATGGAGGTAAATTCAAACATCCAGGTCTGAAAAGATTCCTGAGAGTCTCAATGCTTGTGACTTGTGGGGATAAGATTAAAAACAAAACAGGAAAATCAGACAATAATTAGCCAATGACCATTATCAGCTGTTCATTCACTCAGTCAGCAAACAAATGTAGATTTCATGCTTACCATTTGTCAAGTAGTGTTTCAGACAATAAAAACAGTAATAAATACTGCAAATCACTGTGAGAACAGAATACTGGCCAAGTTTGAAATTTTCAGGAGATAATTAGAAAATATAAAAAGTAACATAGTAAATTTGAAAAAGAACCAGCCAGAAACTGTACACTAAATAAAACTGAAATAAATAACGTAATGAGTGCATTTAAAAAGATGTAAACACAAGTGAAAAGTAGATTTCTGAACTGTAAACTGTATCAGGAGAGCACATCTCAAATGCAGCTCAGAGAGAAAAGGATGGAAAACAGAGAGAGGAAAGACATGATGCTAGAAAGATATCATGAGAAAGTGTAATACGTAGGAAATTAGAGTTGCAAAAGGAGAGAGAGAAGCAGAAACAATGTTGAATAAACAGCGGCAGAATTTTTGTTGGAGATGTCGCTTAGCAGTAGAGCACTTGCCTAACACGCATGAGGGCCTGGGTTCCATCTGCAGTAACACACCCTTCCACATACACACAATGAAAAACATTGATTCTATATTTATGCTGACCAATAAATTTCAGGCAGGAAAAAGAAAATGAAATTTATCTCTAGAGACATCATGGTTGAGATACAATAGACAATGAGAAAAGCTTGAAAAAAAAAAAAAAGAATAGCAGTAAAATGAAATTTTGAATGTGGTGACATACTATTAGTTTAGAAATCTACACCAAGTAAAAATTATTCTTCTAGAATATATTTAGAGTTTAAATAAAACCAAAACTGCGACAGTGAACCAAAAGTAGATTCAGTGCAAAGAAAAGATGAAACAATGTGTTTTTAGCTAAACGCATGTATAGCATCCCAGAAAAATAAGAGATACAGGAAAAATGAGAAACAACAAAAATGGTACATGTGACAATAAATCTAAATTGATGCCATCTGTGTAAAACAATAACTTTTTAAAGTAAAAAAGAATTATAATACACAATTAAAAATACTTAAGAATTGTATTGGTTAAGCAGATTCAAAGTTCTTGCATTTCTAGGAAGAGTATAAATATAAATTAATAATCCTCACAAAGCAATGAAGAATGTTTTTAATTTTTAGGGTAGTCAGTTAAAAATAGTAAAATTGCAAAAACTTTTTTACTAAGACTTAAAAATGAAGTAACAAAATGTGCAATCATTTCAGAAGAAAGCCAGAAAAGAGCAAAAGGAACCCAGAACAAGTAGAACAAATTAAAATATATATTAAGATAATGATTTTACTTCAAATCCATCATTAATAGCATTCAGTTAAGATGAACTGAAGTGCTACAACTTAAAGACAAAGATTATCTTATTGGATCTTTTTAAATGAAGAGTTATATGTTTTTAAGACATATGTCTCTCGTTTTGGCTTTTTTGAGACAGGGTCTCACTATGCAGTTCAGGCTGGCCTTGAGCTCACTTTGCAATGATCCTCCTGCCTCAGCCTCCAGAGTGCTGGGATTATAGGTGTGCACCACCATGCTCAGCAAGGCATAGGTCTAAAATACAAAGCTATAGAAAGGTTGAATTGTATGAAAATAGATATATCGGGGCTGGGGATTTAGCTCAGCGGCAAAAGCGCCTGCCTGGCAAGCGCAAGGTCGTGAGTTCAGTTCCTGGTACCGGAGGAAAAAAAACCAAAACACCAAAAAAAGAAAATAGATATATCTTGCAAACAAGAACCAAAATAGAGCTAATGTTGTTTTATTACTAACAGAAAAAGTAAACTTTAGAGCCATAACCATTATTAGGAATCCGTTAGAATATAGTATATGACCACTGAGCCAAGGCACATGAGTCAGTTTTCCCATTGCTGGGCAAAACACCTGATACCAGGAACTTAAAGGAGGGAGGTTTAATTTTGCACATGGCTTCACGGGATTCAGTCCACAGGCAGCTAGCACACAGGCAGGAACCTCATGGTGGAAGGGCGTGGTAGAGCAAACTGCTCAGTTACATTACGGCAGTCACGAAGCAGAGCAGAGGAATGGTGCCAGAGAGGAAGAGAACAGGCACCAGACAGAGACCCAAAAGTCACACCATGATCCACCCAGACACCCAGAACTGTGCTTTTCCTTTTTTTTTTTTTGGTTTTTCTCCAGTACCGGGAACCGAACTCACGACCTTGCACTTGCCTGGCAGGCGCTTTTGCCGCTGAGCTAAATCCCCAGCCCCCAGAACTGTGCTTTTCTAATACCCTGTGAAGCTTCCAAGCTGCTCAGGCTGACAATTAAGCTTAACTATCCATTAGGCACCAAAATTTTAATAGTCACTATTATTGATTCCTATACACTCTAAAAATCTGTTTGATAATCATATATTTTATAAGGATTAAGGCCTAGAAAACAAAAAGAAATAAATAATGAATCACTTAAACTGTGGTTTCATGATCTCAACAATGACATTTTGGGCCAGATAACACTTTGTTGTGGGGACTGTCCTATATGCAACAAATCATTACATTATCTCTGGTCTGCACATCCTGGATAGCAAACAGTACTTCTGCTCAGTTTTG